TTTAAACTTTCTTGTCAAACAACACAGAAAATCCTCCAAGAAGGGAATCTGTTTCTGTCACTATTCTCTCGGAGGAAAATATCTCCAGGCAAGCTTGCCTCCATCCCACTGAAAGCTGGCATCATTGCCTGTCTTGCTACCCTCTGGGTGTCCAAAAGCTAAAAATACCCTCTTCACAACCAACCTGCCATTCATTAGCCCATGGCAACGGGACTGACAGGTGCTCACGAGCTGTGACAATTTAAATGAGTGAGGGCTCCACCAACAGAAGTGGGATTTCAGATGTCTCATTGTGCTGTGCCTCATAACTCCCTTGTTGTGGGCAAGGAAGTGTTTCAAGCCATCTGGGGAGCTAATGCTAAGTGAACGAATGTCACTCAGGATAAGGGGTGCACTGGCAGATGACTGGTTTTGAGTACTGAGAGCACAGGCTTGCAGGTGAAAGTCTCACCTTAAGCGAAGTGAGAGTGATTCATGGGTTTCAAAGGCACTTCATTTTGTTGACACTGCCAGAGGAAATTGGACTAACACCTGGTATATCCCCATCTTAGCAGGGGAGACCATTTTCCTACAAGTAAAACAGAATTGCACATGGAAGGATGTACAGCCCATCACAAAACCAGTCCACATTTATGTGTGATTTTAACAGATGAATCCCATCCTACTTCATCCTCTCAGAGYCCCTCACTGGCAGTTGCCCACCAGGATTTTTCCTTCTCATGGCAAAAAGGAGCTTTTTAAGCCCATTTTGGGGTACATAAAAGGGCCATCTGCAGAAAGCACCAAAACTAACTGGGTAATGATGGCCTGGCACCAGTTTCCTTGTCATGGTCATTCCTGTTGTCACACACTTAATACATTAAAAGCTACCAACAGCAGAGGAAATCCAAGTTTGTTAAACACTATATCTAGCCAGACTTTTACCTTATTTGCAGATATAAAATGCCTAGAATATCTGAAAATCTTTAGGGGGTCCATCTGCCCCTACCCTTGTCAGTTCTGCCTGTGCTGATGCACCTCATAGCACCCATCGAGCAGTCAACGGAGGATTAAAACATCATAGTGGAAGAAGCCACGGATTAAGAGCCAGCCCATCAAGAATCTGTTGTCACGCAATTGTCCTTGAAAGAGCTAGTCAGGTACTAGAGAGAAATGGATCTGTAACTACTGTTATGAATATAAGTGCYTTGGTTCCAGGCATTGTCATTTAGACAATTTAGTTGTCACAGAAGATGAAGAGGTGACTTGAATACAGTGGTAACTATCTTCAGAGGTGAAAATATCAGATTTTGAAAGGCTTTTTCATCCAGTAGAGAAAGGCATAGCAAGATATTGACTGGCTGGAAGATAAGGTAGACTCGCTGACAACAGCATGAACTTTAAGAGGTTAGCCACTGGGACTTTGACTACATAAGGCCTGGACTCATCACCTTTAGCTATTGCCAAATCAAAACCTTATGTTAGGGGACAAGCTGACATTCTCTGGTCCGTGTTCCTCACCAAGTCAATTAGAAAAACCAATGATCCCTTGTAAACTTTAGTATTTAGGAGTATTTCTGTGGGTTGATTCTTGTCAACCTTGAAATTAGTCGTCTGAAAACTCTTGCCATAAAATATAACGGAAATACACCAATTCTGAAGAATCTCTGCCACAGAGAAGTTGCTGTATACTTCACAATAAAGGCAATACGACTGTTTTCTTTTACTATATTTTTTAAGCTTCCCTTGTATTTATATGGTTCCAAACATCCTTAACAGAAGCATATAAGAAAAGCCATGACTGCCACTGTCACCTGGAGGTCCAGTCTCAGCCCATCCTCTGAGACAGCCCTCATGTTTATTTTATTTGGCAGAAATATCTTGGAGTTTGAGTAGGAAGAGGTTGGAAACCAAGATGCACTGGACTTGGTATCTTGACTCATTTTTCTTCTCTGTTTTGCTTTGACTCACTGAAAAATCCCATCTGGCTTTTCTAAACAGAAATCTTACTCACCTTGCACTTTATGCTTTCCTAGGGATCAGTAATAAACATCCCTTCAGTCAATAATTAAATAGCAAGGAAAATTAGCAGCAAGTCTGCTATGAGCTCAGAGCCAGTAAATCCCAGAGAAATACTGGAGCACTCATGTAGGGTCTTGGATAACCTGTAGAGACTGATCCACATGCCTTCCTTCTCCCTCTTTATCTTCCCTTCTCCTTCCTTATCTCTTTAAGGGTAGTGCTACTTCTTGATGAAAGATTTGCTGCAGGACCATGAGTTTTGATTTCAGTTATTGACACAGTGGAAGGAGCTTAAAAGCAAGAGSGGTGAAAATAGGAGGTGGAGGGAATCACCGTAAGCTGTAGCAAGGCAGATACAGCTGGCTTTGGGTGACACATCTTCAGGGAGATAATTGCAAACCACTAATATCTACGGATGTTGATGCCAAGGAAGGAGAAGAAATATTTATAGTGGGACAGAGTTCAAGGACACTGAGGCTGAACTGGTTCTGTGTAAACAGAGATGGGAAGATCCAGGCTGAATGGTAAGGCATTAGCCTGTGAAATTAGTCCCCTGGGTATAGAAGAGATGCAAACACCATCACTGGGGATGCCCACAATTATGTTGAAGAAAACTTAAGAATTCCCTCCAGGGAGCAATCAGGCACCAACTGAGATAGATCTTGCCTCCCTCTCCACTTCTGCATTTCACTAACTCTATTTTTTTTTCCCCTGATATAAGTACAGGTGTCAGTTAGGAAAACATCAGCCCCAGGACAGGGATATTGCAGGGTGACTGTGATCAGCTCCAGTACCAACCATGTGAGGACAAATAAAGCAGTTTGAATCTACTTAGTATTTACCCTTCCCTGGCACCAGGGCACTCCGTATCTAGTTTTCAAGGGAATGGATAACAAAAAGAAGAAAAACAAAAATTCCCATAACAACTTGGCAACATACCAGTGGGGAGTCAGGGAATAAAACAAAAGCATTTCCCCAAGCAGTTTGAGGATTAAAGGCCTCCCAGATAATTACACTATCAGCTAAAACTCCTCAGCTGCTGCCCTGGTGCAGGAAGGCTGACAACTGCTCGACATTTCCAGATGTGAAAAATCTTCCTTGAAGGAGAGTTTCAGCACCCAGAATTAGAGTCTCAACTCTAATTTCTAGTGCATCTGCATCTCATGTATCTGCAGAAAGCAGAAGGTGCCCTTTGCTCTCCTAGCCTCCTTCAGAAGGATCAGCAGAGCACGACCAGCAGAGTATTTTTATATCAACCCAAGGGGAGGAGAATTGAAATGTAAAAAAACTTTAAGTGACAAGTGGGCTGGCCAAGGTAGTCTCAAGCAGAGCAGATTCAAGACATGCTTTCCAAGCTCCAAGCAAATAACCCAGGTTACTGATCCCACATCCCACTCAGTTTGCCAACCACTTCACTTTTGTTTTATCTCAATTCATCTTTAGTTCCCAGAGAGAGGCTAAATTACCCCTAATTACAATTCAGATGATAATAACTATAGCTTCTTTAGCCATCAGCATAGGGGAATCCAGCTGGCAGGGAAAGGATGGTCTCAGACACATGCAGGAGTTGAGACTGCTTGTCTCACCATGTTCCAGAATACTTGGACAACAGGATGAGACCAAGTGAGGAGGAATTTCCATCCCCAAAGAGCAATTGTTCCCTAAAACAAGGTATAAAGCAGCTGGGAGAGAGACATAAAGTGACCATTTAGCCCTAACTGCAACTTGCCAGAATTTTGCTGCAGTGCACAGTGACTCAGAAATAAGTAAGTAAGGGGAAAAACTCATCCAAAGAGAGACATATCGTTCTTTAAAAGAAAACTAAAAGCTCCAGGGTATTAGCTAGTACTGAGAATAAAAACTTCAGAGAAAATACACCGGATACCAATCCTATCTCTGACTTGCTCCAGCTGATAACACTTAAAACAGAGGGGTGAAAACCATGATGTGTAAATCAATAAATAGCCAGAAAAATCCACTCCAAAAATCCCCTGCATACAGTTATTTTCCAGCACCAAGTGATGTTTCAAGCTGCCACTTTTTAAGGAGGGCTGAAAGCGCTGTGGCCCACAGCACAGCAAGGGAACATGTTTAACTTGTGGAGTTCATGCACTAGGAGAAGGAAGAGTGATAATTCTCCAGCCAGAATGGGTATTATGGAGCTCACAGGACCCTGTTGGCACAAAGTCCATCTCCTTCCTCTTTCCTGGTTTATCTGTCCCTTGTATTCCATGTGCCAGGCGTGCTAGACCCCAGGAACATGGGTCAAAATTTAGCCACAGTATTCTAGTCATGCTCGTGTCCCCTAGGAGGTTTCCTCCCAAATGGTGTAACATCATTAATACACCAAGGATTCATCATAGATATGACCAGGGGAGTTCTCATTAAGGGGCCACCTATGAATATTGGAGACCAATCTGCTCTTGTGTCTTGGTGAGAGCCTTATTTGGCAGAAGACTTGAGCCTGAAAACTGATTTCATCCAATGAAATATGGCTCAGTAAGAAAGCTCCATTCCTCTACACTTAGCACACAGTCATCTACAATCATCATAAAAATAATGCAGTGAGCAATGGAATATTTTCTTAAAGATTGGGGAATAATTTTATTCTGCCCTGGATGCCCCAGGTGCTGGATTTGGCTGCTGGAGCAATTTCCCCTACATCTGGGGACACTGGCCCTTCTCCAYCACCAAGTGGCACAAGTGCCTCCACAGCCAAAGCCCAGGAATGGCCCAGAACACCCAGCCCAGCTCAGTGTAGCTCCCTCATGAAGATGAATGATCATTTAGGATATGATGACACAAGGCAGTAGCAGTCTGTTCCCAGGGCAAAGCAAAGCATCTAATCTGACACACAGGATAAGGCAACACCTGCATCTCACAGGCAAAGAGCGAGACAGATTGCCTGATGATTAGCCCCCTCTGGGTTAATTACTGCCTGATAATTAGCCCCAGCTCAAGGGCCATGATCCTTCCAGAGGAGCTAGGAGTCCCAGTGCAACCAGAGGGGCAGCTCTAGATCTCTTAGCCCCTGGTGATGCTGGAGTGTGAGCAGGATTTAAACATAAGGGAACATAGTGCTCTAGTGTTTTTGATATTCACTTGTCTCCATAAGAATTGGTGAAATCCTGTTATCCTACTGAACCAGGGAGACTTGTGGTAAGCTTGTAGGACAGCTGGGCAAGGGCATGAGTGATCTGCACCTCTGAGTAAGAAACCCACCCTTCTCTGTGAGCCTGACTTTCAACAAAATATGCCCAGATGTGTGCTGTGAAACTGTTCTAATGTGGTATAAACCAGCACTGCTCTGCAAGTCAAGGCAAGGAATTCAGGTATGTGCTACCCTCTGCTGTCCTCCTMCTGCTATTTCTCCTTTTCTCCCTCCTCCTCCTCGCCCTCCGTCCTTTGCTAATGAGGCATCATCCTCCTTCACATCAGAAGATGCAGTGCCTGTCTAGGTATGGCAGCACTGTGATGATTCAATTTGTTTAAAACTAAGTAGAGCAGATGTCCCCTGTATCTTGGTAGGATGGGAGGACAGACAGAGCAAGCAGTGACCATTCCTTAATCAGGGACAAYCTGGAGCTTCTCATTAAAACCAGAATGGTTTTACACGTTGCAAAGGAAAACCCAAGGTCCATGTCTGCTGAAGTGAACTGTCTTCTACTTAAAAATGAAGCCCTTTGGCCAAAAAGGCCAAAACCTTCACCTTTGGCCAGGTGAAGGCTTTTCCCTTTAGTATGTGTAAGTGTGGAAAAGTTGAGTGAGCAAAATTATAATTGTATGTAAATTCCTAACTGATCAGTGTAAGAGGGAAGTACTTGTGAATTTATGGAGTGTGCGAATAATGTTTGGAAAATAAGTTGGGAGTATGTGCTCGATTTGTGGAGAAACCACCGAGCACCTGGCCTTGTGCAACTCCAAAGTAAATGAGCAGATGTCTCTGAGTGTGTGATTCTTGACTCATTGATTCATAATCCTACACTTGTGCCATCCCTCCCACCTCATTACTCACATCTACCTGAGAGTTCCCATATGAGAGCTGTGTTCTGACCTGCAAAGTGCCAAAAATCCTTCTGCAAGTCACTGAAAACTGCCTGACATCATCAGGGTTAATCTGAGGTGTTATCAATACAGCTCTTGTCTTTATTAACAACCCTTGACCCTTCAGAGGAGAAAACAAGACAGGAGATGAATGCCAGCTTTGTTCCTTGGATGCCCATGTTGAATACTTATCAATGCAGACATTATTTATCACAGGAAGAAAAACCAGGGCATAATTCCTTCCTAATGAGCCATGTTCAAATGACTCTAGATAAAATCTGAAGTGTGGAGTTCATTTCTCTGAAATGAGCTGTTAAGCACAGTTGCTGAGCTGTGCTGTCTCCCCAGGGAAGCTCTGCGTCACTGCCTCTCCTTGGAGTCTGGGTTTCACAGGGAGCTTGAGCAAACTTGTCTTCAGGAGTGCTAACAGAAACTTTTGAGTGCCTGCAATAATCTGTATCACTCTCTCAAGCAGAAAGCCCTCRTGAAACAGAAGGTAGACATGTTGCTATTGTTGCTATGTGTCTTGGTCTCAGACTGGGAGGTTTGGTAAATACGTGTGTTTTTTCTTGAATCAGGCCCAAGAGGAACATATAGTCTGGTACAGACTGAACAGTGGAAACCCTACAATCATTCTGGGATGCTTCATGATCTCTAGAGATTCAGCTTTGGCTTCTGTAGGTCCTCAAGAGCTGCAGAAAGGCAAGTTTCTTTGTTGCACCATGAAGAGGGATCATGATTCATACCCTAGTCCTGCAGTTAAATTTCCTGGATGCCCCTGGGGAAGGGAATCCCCATGAGATGTGGGTATCCTTCCATTAAATGCTGCAGCTGATACCTGTCAACAACACAACTTTACACAGGGCAAAGGAAGTCTCCTAAAAAAGGAGACAACCTAAAAAATCATGTGTTTTTCCCCCATGGAGTGTATAGTGAGTGCTGGGTTCCTTGCCTCAGAGCTATAACCCCCAGCTGTGTCCATGCAGTGGTAGAGCTTCAGGGTCTTGGTTCTGGAGTACAGACTTCACATAAGGTGAAACTTGGATGCTTCTCTCTCATGAATCTGGACTTAAATACACTCCAACCTTAGATTTAACTGATCTTTTGGAGATCCAGCTCTCATGAGTTGAGCAATGCCAGTTCTAGAGAACTGATGCAAACTGTGAGATCCTGTAAGATCTACCAGCAGAGGACAGAGCAGGTCAGAGGCAAAGGTGCTGCAGATAAAAGGTGGATCTGTATTTATACTGCACAATAGGATGCTTGTCCATCACCAGCTATTGCTGTAGTTCACATAGTGAAAAATAACATATCACCATCTTGATACAAAATACCCACAAACCCAAAATCTCTCACTCCCAGCCACCAAGGGCTGCAGAAATTACTGCAACTCGCCTATATCAGTTCTCATTTATAAACAGAGTTCACATACAAATGCAACTTGYATCACCCTTCTGGAGGGAGGGGAAAAAGGTTAATATCCAGCCAGAACAATGTAGAGAATGATATTTCTATGTATTTACTGAAGCAGTTGTTGTGTTCTTTCCAAGATAAGCAAATGAATAACAAATGGTAGAAGATACTGAGAAACTGAATCTGTATTCATGACATTTTATTATGGATGACCCAGGCACAGCTTCATGTTTGAAGCTGAGTTTTGCATTTCAAGCAGGGAGCCAATCTCTTTGCTATGTAGAAGGGTACCCCTTCTCCTTCAGCTGCCATATGCATCTACCAACTGCTACACATATCTTCTGAGAGCCCACAGACAAATCTCTTAATTAGGTGATGCATTTAAAATGAATACAAAAAACAGCAATTTTCAGAATTGTCATGCCTTTCTCAGATTATATATACACCTTTAGCCAAGTTTTAGTCAAGTTTCTTTAGCCTATATTTTAGCCTTGAAAAATGAGATACATAGCGTCATTCTGGGTGTGGGCCTCGCTGTCTGCTTGCCTTCTTCAGAGTAGTTTTTTAATATCACTTTGACAGAATAGAGAAGTGCTCAAAGATACTACCAAGGTCCTTTAAGTTCAGTGAAAAGAGGTGATTGGAGAGAAAAGATACAGCTGAGTCATGACCTAACCTTTACTAGACATGAGAGAAAATAAAGCCCCCATACTGTAAATCTAAAGAAAACTTTCCTTGATCTGCTGCTCGCACAAATTATGAGTTTTTCTCCCAAGTGGTTTCAAGCCCAGACATTGTTTATTTATGCTAAAACCATCAGAGAAACTTGAGATCTGGGAGGGGGATTTTTTCTTCKTTTTAAAGAAACACTGAAGATTCATTCATCCCATTATTCATCCCAGCAAAACCGTCCCTGTAGGCACGGCCTGGAAAGGAACATCCWCTTGAGACACTTGCTCAGCCTGCCCTTTCTTTTGGCTCTCGGTGGGAGGATGATGAGGCTGCACTCAGTAGAGGTGGCCCCTACCTCCATTATTGCCCACAGCCACAGTTCAGAGATACTTAAGCATTTTCCCTAAGCTTTCCTCATGATTTCTCTGTTCTGGGAGGACAAGGATGGAGGGTGTCTACCACCATCATTATTTCCCCCCCTAAATAATTATCTATCATTTTTCCTGTCTTTGTCACATGTTTCATATTTCTGCTTCATCTTAAGTGAGGTGGGGGGCTCAAGAGCTCCTTCTCTTGAGCTATGTTGTGACCTCACTCTCAGTCTAAGCCCTCAGGAATTTCTCTGCCTCTTGCTACTGCAGGATCTCCACCAAAATGTCTTGTGTATCATTGACATCCCTATCTGCTCCTCCCTGACCTCTCTTGATCAGGTCCCTGCAAACTCACTTCCCTTTTACTAGGATGTYTCTTAGCTGTGTTATGTCCTATCCAGTGGTGATTGCTGGATGAAGGACCACACTTTCAAAGCAGATTAGGCTGAGCAAGGGTGATCAAGGCCAGTAGATGTGAGCCGGTAGAGTCTGTAAATCATCACAAAGGTGATAAGAGGTGGAAGCCAAAGACATTCCTCATTGCCACGGTAACCCAGAGCTCCATACCACACCAGAGGAGGCAGAATGCTCTGTGCTACATGCATCTGCTTGGACTTCAGGGGATCTGGGGTGTTGGAGACCCTGGCCATCCTGACCTTCGTGTTTTGCAGCTGCTCAGGTAAAAGACCAGCATGGAGGGTTAATAGGAGACCTTGATGAGGTTTCCAAGGGTGAATGGAGCACCTCTGAGCTGCTGGAGAATTGGTGATATGAGCCACTCCACACACCATGTGGAGTCAAGAGAGATGGGAACATGGCCTAGCTTGGCTCTGAGATCTGTTCAAGGCAGAGAACAGGTCGGATAAAACATTGCTGCCAGGCAGACCCTCATCAGCTTACACTGCTCCCTCAATGGGGCAGAACAAGCCCTTTATTGTGCCACCCCGTCAGCTTTGTCTTTGAAGACCTCCTGTGTTGGCTGTTTTGTCTAAAGYAGGTTGCCCCTGTATTTCTGATGTGAACCTGAGAGCTACCCTTCTACTTTCTTCCTAGGACAGCCAGATCATCCTTTTGGGGACAGCTTCCCATGGAGTAGAACAGACGAGATGCTAACAAGAGACTTGGAGAAAGCAAACATATCCAGCTGGGAACATCAAAGTGGTGAGAAAASATGTGTGAATCTCCCCTGCAGGGCTGACCCATGCTATCCTATTTCCTGAGGTAAGGAGTTTCCCCATTCAACCAATGTCTAGGGCTTGCTGAAGGGAGCCTGTCAGCACTGCCCATAAGCCAACAGACCGGACAGAGGACATGGCTTCCTAGTTCAGTCACACCCAACACAAGTGCAGGTGGTCTAGTCTGGCACTCTGTGGTCTCCATCATCTCCTTTTACCACTGCATCAGTTTTTGCTACCTGTTCCTACAGCTTCTGGCTTTTCTCTATTCTTTCCTCCAAATCCATTTACAGTTTGGTCCTGAGCCCAATCAGACTCCATGTAGGATCCCAGCTTGCCCCACTAGCTCACAAACCTTTCCCCTCTCCTTAGCTCCAGGTCTATTTTTCGCAATGCCCTGAAGTTCTTGAAATGTGCCCACTTCCTGTCTCTCTCTGGCTTAGGCAATGTCTTCATCCATGCAGAGAGCAGCTTGTTTTCACTGCCATGCAGCCCCATTGAGATGGAGGTGCCCAATCCCACCTACCACTGGTTCCATGACAAGGAAGGTACGGTGCCAGCTCCTTACCTCTCAGATGCACAGTTAGATGCAAGCAGCTGTGATGGGCTCTGCATCTGCAGGGCAAGAGAGGAGTAGGAAGGGAAACATCCATCCAAGGAAGGCATAGGTCTGCCTTCCTTCAAATTCAAATTTTTGAATGGTTCTTTTGGCAGATAGAAAAATCTCTGGCAGAGGGGAGTGGGGCAGAGATTTTTTTTTCTTTCCCCTACCCCTAAATGACTTTTCAGAGAAGGAAGATCAGCTTTGGGAGTCTTTGTGGAGTCCCACAAGAGCACTGAGCGGATGGGATCTGGGCCAGCCCACCCCAGGGTCTGGGCTAGCTCAGCACAGGGCAGCCAGTTCCTGGAGTTCATCCTTAATCCTTCTGCCCCCCCGCACTAGACTCTGGGAGTCTCAAAGTCAGCAATCAAGGACATCTCCTCTTCAAACAGTTCCAAGCAAGTCAAAGTGGAAACTACTCCTGCACCATCTCCTACATGGAACACGGGCTCTCTGTGTCCCAAACGTTTCACTACAGCGTGCTTGGTGAGTCTAACTCTGTGCAAACAAGCAGGAGGGACAATCCAGTGGGGACTGAAAGGATGGATAGACCAAGGGATGAGGAGAGCAGCAAGGTCAAGTTCTGCTCTCTGGATGTGGGAGTTCTCTGTTACTCTTTCCAAGGGGAAGAACCAGGTACGTCTTAGAACTTTTTTCCACAGGCTACCACATACTTGGAGGCCTGGAGACCGTGTTGCTCTTCCAGAGCAAGCGCTGCGAGGAAAAGTGGACCAAGAGATTTCTGTGGATTCTGCAAGATAGCCTGAGCCATTTGGCAGCTGAGCAGCACTGCAAATTTGAGCTCATAGGAGCCTCCTGCTTCCCCACACTAAATGAGCCTTTGCRCAAGGTCTTTGTTGAAGTCCAGCTGCAAGGTAGAGCTACAGGCAGTAGCACCATGGCAGAGGAATGATGGAGGGAGTGGGGAGCAGTGAGCACCACTTGCACATTGAGGTTATGCTCAGAGAGGGAGAAGGGCAACAGGATAGGGCTGAAACAGTGATGGTGAAAGTTAGGGGCTCGTGAAAGGCAGGGCCATCAAAAGGCTCATTTGATCTCCATTTTCCAGTGTCCTTCTTTGGGCCCCATTGGGATGAGCGCTGCATCTCTCAGGACCAGGAGAAGGTCACAGACTGCTACCACAGAGTAGTGGAGCAAAACATCTGGCAGGTGAGCCTTGGGGCCTGCACACTCCCGAAGGAGGGAACAGGACACAGGATGTCTGTGTCCGTGTGGGCATCTGCATGTGGCAGGAAGCACTGTCCTCCCAGCCGGGATGTGGCAGCCCAAGCATCCTCACCAGTGCTGGCATGAAGAGGACAATTTAGTTTTTCAATCTCCCTACAGTCTTAACTCCCCTCGAGGATCCTAGCATTGCATGCCAGACACTTGTGCACCTTCAACCTTTTCTACCCTGCCCAGGTCCAGCTTGCCATGAACAACTTCTTCAAAGATCACAAGTTCATCCACGTCTCTGGAGCTGATGTTCCCCACGTCATTTTTACCAACGATTTTGTCGGCTTCCTGGAGACTAAGCACTGCCTTGGGGGCTACGGACAGACCAAGCAGCTGCAAAGATGCCTCGACTGCTGCAGTGAGCCAGGAATCTACAGTCCTTTTGCCCCCTTCTGCTTCTCTTCTCTGCTTGTCTCTTCCTCTTACCTGCCTGGCTCTGCTTTTGGGTCCCTTCAGCAGTCCTTGCTGTCCTCCCCATGCATGCCCAGCTTAGACAATGCAGTGCATGGGCAATTCTGAGCCCTTGAGTGTCAGGGCTCAATTTTCCTGACTCTTGGTTGAATACACCCTTACCAAGAAGCCAGTGCTTTTGCTCAGAGTGGCTTTTCTATGTGTCCTCTCCTCAGTTGTATGTCCACCAGGGACGTTCAGCCCTCCTAAGGACAGTCAGTGCTCCCCATGCCCTGTTGGAACCTACAGCCTCACCTACGGCATGGCATGGTGCATTCCATGCAAAGAAGGCCTGGTCACCAGGACAGCAGGCACCAGCTCCATGGAAAACTGTGTGGAAGAAGAGGCTAAACAGGGTATGCAGATCATCTGCTGTTGCAGCAAGGCAGGGAAGGGATTGAGGGGCTCTGACCTGAGCGTGCACTAAGTAGGACCCCCGAAGATCTTCCCCAAAAACATCTTATGCATATGCTAGCTATGGCAACTTCTATAACCCTTGAGGACACTGTCCCATCACCATCCTTGAAGAGATCACGGCTTTCTCTGTCCTCCACAGGACAGAGCCTGGTCTTCCCAACAGCAGGCCAGTGCCAAGGAATGTGATCRCTCTCTCCACCGTAGTGTCCCTGACTAGCCTTGAGCCCTCACAACCTCATTGCTAGGTGTAATAAAGGCCCTGAACCCACCACCCCTGCTAGCTCTAGGGCTGGAGAGCACTAGCACTAGTTTTATCTCAAGGGCTTGTAGCAGTGAACTTATCCGAGCATCTCTCCATGCATTTCTCTTTCCTCAGCTGCCTCCACTGCAAGCAGGATCCCAGTCCTGACTCTCAGCATCGTGATACCACTACTAGTCATCATCCTTCTTCTCTTCCTGTGAGTCTAGGAGGGCTTGAGCTTCTTTCCCCTGAATGAGGGACTTCCAGGGCAGTTAATTGGTACTGGGCCCCTAGTTCTGTATAGGGAGTCACCCTCCTTGGAAAAGGAGACCCTGAGCCCAACACTCTGACACTGTCATGCCAGAGCACGGGTGCAGCATGACAAGAGAGGACAACCCTTGGCAATAGTTTGTGTAACTATATGGAGCTATGATCCTGGGAACCTTGGCCCCGACAGCTGGGGCTAGGTAGCTCCTGAGCTCTGGTGCTGCTTCCCAGCACTCTGTTCCTTTTTACTATGAGTTTTTGTCTCTCTGTAGCAGTTATTATTGCTATTGGACCCATCAAGAGCACCCACTGTTATCTCCAAAAGCTTCCAAGAGAATAGAAACCACCAAGATGATGGAGATGATGAAAAAATTCTTTAGATTCTCTAAGGAGAGCACCCATGATGGACCTGCTGCTGCAACTGCCAATGTCACCAATTCCCTGGGCCCCAGTGCGTCTCAGAAGGCTGATACGGAGTAAATGCATGAAGTTTCCTCCCTTACAACAACCTCTTATTTAGCTGATGCAACCAAGAAGAAATCTCCTGTACCATCAGTGTCAGATATAAGGGATACATTCTGAGAGTCCCACAGCCGTGAAGGGAGAGCATCCCTCCAGCCAYCACTGTTCATTTTGTGCGTGTCCTTAACCAACCCCACGCTTGCTGAAGGATCCAGCAATGATGAAGAGGGACACTCTGCTCCACCACCTCTCAGTTTTCCTTCCCAAACAGCTCTGACTTCCTTTTTCTACAAAGACTGGCCTCTATTTGCATATCTCTGCAGTCATGGAAGCAGGAAACACAGAGGGACTTGGGAGTAATGCAGAAAGAACCCATCATACTGGTTGAACCAACTGTTTCACTGTAAGTCATGGCAGGCATCTTTCCCCAGGCAGGGAGTTGGTCTTGCATTAAATAAAAACTCAGATCGCTTCTGATATGACTTTTTTTACACACTCCCAAAAGAACAGCCCCTAGACAGAGCTTAAGTCAGAGCATTTGCTGGGCTCAAGATGGTAGGATGGGGCAGAAGAAAGCTCCCCATCAAACCTCTCTGCTTTCAGAGCCGGGCTTTGCAATGGGAGGGACACTGGGACCTAGAAAGGATTCCTGCCTTTGTAGCCTCAAGGAGGGATTTACCATCTTTGCCTTAAAATTTTTTTGAGCCCAGCAGTTGCTGAAAAGCCATGAGAGGGCAGCAACGCAGTGCGATCTGCTCAGTCCCAGCACAGAGCTGCCTGGTCTGGGCAGTAGGTGCTTCCTCGCAGATCTGAGCAGGGATGGGCTTCAGATTCCAAATCCAAGTAAGAGAAGGGTCTGGCTCTGCCTCTTGGAGGGCAGGAAGCACACTTGGAGCAGTGCATTGAGTCTGATCCAGTGGCTGCGTTTACTTGGGTAGTCTCAGAAGCACTATACTGTCCTAAGAGACTTCTTCAGCCTCTTTGCTAAGGTTCAGAGGAGAAAATAGCTTGCAGAGCTGAATTTCCACCAATGGCCAGCCAAGCAAAAAAAAGGAACTATGCTAGAGGAGATGGGGGAGAAGAGGCAGAGAAGGTGTCAGGTCTATGTGAAGCTTAAGGTTGGTGGAGATGGCTGGAAGCATACTCAAGTGGAAAACCACAGCCACAAAGATCAGGCCCTAAGGAGACCTCCTACATCCCAGTGGCAGATAATGAGATTGCTTGTTGGTATGGGCTGGGATAAGGAGGCAGCTGCTGCCCATTGTAGCTCCACAGACAGCTCAGAGGGAGCAGATTCCTCCTGATTAATCTTGAGACAAGTATAATTAGAGAGTCTGTGGTGGGCAGGAGTTATGGCTGTCTCCTTGGGCTGTGTGAGCTGTGCTGCAGATTCAGCGGGAAAAGTGAGTGGGCTCCTGACATCAGGGTATTTTGCCTCTGCAGTCAAGAACAGGCCACAAGAAAGGTTCTTCACTCCCAGCACCCTCTGGCAGCAGAGACCCAGCAGGACCTGGTTCCTCCAGGAGGCTGCAAATAACTGGAACATGGAGTGAATGCAGCAGGGCAGGTAACCTGGTGATAAGCAGATGATATCCTGTCAGTGACACTGCTGCAGATGGGCAGATGTGTCTAGCATGTGTCTTTCTGATCACTCAGGAGTCTCTTCTAGTTCATTATATTTTGAATATTATTTTCTGCAATGTGTTGGAGTTTAATGCCCAGCTGCTTTTCCAGTGTTGCAGCTCCACAGGAACATGAAAAAAAAAATAGATTTAATTGTGAATTATGTAAGCTTCAGTATTTTGGGGATGTAGGTGCCTAGACTTTTCCATTCATTGGAATCTAAGAGAAAGACCAGGTTTCTGGATGCAGCGAAGGGCTTATTGGTGTGCAGTAGTAACTCAGGGAGTGGCAGCAGCATAATCACTTGCAATCATCTGCTCACAGTGCTACTTAACCAAAATGAAATATTTGGGAGTAATCACCTTGCAAATATTGTCTTATTAACTTTGGCTTTTCTGTAGCCTAAAGGATCTTCTCTGAAATCCTTGAAGGGTGATTCTGTGGACAAGTGTCCATCTAAGAGAAACTTTTCAGAAGTAACTTGGGAACCAAAGTTTCAGCTTTCAAARGCTTGTCAGTAATTCCTATTATTAAAAAAAAAATAAAAACCAAGATTTTTTTACTAGAAAATATCTGAAATCCAACTAGAACAATGTGATGAACTTTAATTATGAGAAAGTGAAAGGGAAAATTTTGATTTTCCAGAATCAAAAGTAAAAACATATAGGATGAGTAGACCCTCAACCTCTAAGTTGCGTTGTGAGGGCCTCTATATCATAGTGGACTTTTCTACTGGTGATCTCAGCTTCTTGCTATTTTTTCATCCTGTTAATAAGTCAGGACAGCTGAGTGAGTGAGAGTAGGACCTAAAGTCACATTCAGAACAGAATATGTCGTCTTTTAGGTGCTCTTACCTCCTTGATGCAAAATGAGACCTTCACTGATCCCAYGCAGCAGGGCAAGGGAGGACCAGAGGAGTAAAGCAGTGCAGAGTTGGGTCTTAGAGTGTGTATCAGTTTCCACGGAAACCTTCCTTTCTGCTTGCTCACAACTATCACTGAAATCTTCTTCCTGCAGCAGGGCAGCCCTGCCTTGGACTGGACGTCCCTGGCTGGGGGGCTGACCAGGGTGTGAGCATCTCACTGCCCTTGGCTCTCTCTGGCACAAGTGATGTCAGAAAGATCCCTCTAGAGAGAATGCTCATCCATCCCTGTGCCCGACTCGCAGGCCCACTGTTTTTAATGACATGGAGAGATCTCCAAGGAACTAAGGTCATGAGAGTGTCCTTTCACCCGCCACTAGGACCCCGGGCTCATGCCCGACTCCTTTGGCAGCTCTCCTGTGCCTGGGATGTGTCCCAGGAGGCTGCACAGCAGCTCCTATAACCTGCTCTCTTTTGGGCCTGCCACTCATGTCCACAGAGCTGAGCTGTCAAAGAAACAACAAAGACTCCATCTGGTGCTGACCCCCTCTCACAGGATGGGTGGATTTAAAGGTGGAAAGCAAAGGTCTGGCTTTTGATAATCATATACAAAGATAAGGCAGACTCCAAACCAATTAGAGTATTTTATTACTTGTTATCCTCTCAGKTTTTTTTGCATAAACACACATTACAGTTCTTCCAATTATTTAAATCCCTGTTTCAAGTTATTTTCTCCTATTTTATTTGTGTATCTGCTCAAACACTTAGACAACAGCACATTACTGATTTTAACAGTACTATTACTCCACTTGAACCATTTCTTTTGCTATTGATACCCGGGGTAAAACAATCTACTGACTGACCTTTATGGCCTTTGTGACCTTTTTTTCACTTGCACTCCAGAAATTCATCTTGGATTGCTGAATAAAACCACTTCCAAAACTTATTTGATCACTGTAACTACTTGTTATACCATTAGAATAAATTTCCTTAATGAAGGAAAAAAACATGGGAGGGAAATACCACAGCTGCCATTGTTGGTGACAGTTTATATTAAGCTTCTTATTGCAAGTTAACTGCAAGTTCAGTTTACAATTTGCAGTTCCTGCATCTTCTTGTGTAATCTTAGTCTTAATAGGCCCCTCTTTGAGCTTTAAGGATTGTCCTTTTCTGTCCTTTTCAGCTAGAAGTGCAAAATCCCATGGAGATGTAAACACATTGGGAATAGTCTTATATTAATTCACTGCAGCTCCAGGATAATCTTGGATTTTAACAATCCACTGCACAGCAGTGCCCCTGTTCAAGGCAATCTCAGGAAATAYGATGCCCATCTTATTTGATCTTGGATTTAATCAGTTCCAAAATTGGACAAAAAAAAATCTGGCACAGCTCTCATAGACTGATATCTCTAATCTTGGATTGCTTTCTTGATTAGAAGGGATGTGATCTTCTACGTTCAGATCATGGTCCATGGTTGGGAAGCGCCCCGAGACCCTTTCTTTGAGCACAGCTGTCGTCTAGAGCAGGAAGATGCATCCTTGCTCTGAGTGCCCTTAGTATAGGGAATTATTTTAATGCTGTGTCTCTTTTTGCATTGCATAAAGCCCCACTGTCTCCAGCCACAGGGAGGAAAAGAGGGAAAGGGTGGTGATGTTGGAGGGATGTGACCTGGCTGGAGGAAGGAAAGGCAGCAACCTTCCTGCTTGGCTGTTCTTTTGTAACAGCACCAATTACTGTCGGGCAGGAAAGGCGAAGTTGCAATTAAAATAGCACCTATTCAAGATGAAATCATAATTGCCATTGCTTGATTATGCAAATGTGGCAAAGCATATAGGAGCTTAATAGCAATCCCACATTTCCTAATCTAAAAGATTGTCCTCAGCTACCAGACTCTTAGTGTTCTGGCTCAATATAATTCAATTTTCATCTCTCTCTGTTATTTCCTCTTTGCCATTTTCTTTTTAAGAAGAGTTGTATCCTCTCAAGCATGYTGTGTACACTCTTATGGTGCTTGCTGTGTAGGTGTCAAGAAGAACACTTGAATGAGTTGAGTGTGGCAGAGGGTTCATAGCCAGATCTCTCTCAGCTTGAGCTGCTGGGTTGTGCTGCCTTTCATGGAGCTCCTCTAGCAGAGCACAAGCTCCAGTGACCACAGCAGGAAGGTGCTGCCAGTACAGGCGCTTGCTGAAGCACTCTTCAGCCAGCTTTCAAGTTTCCTCTAGCCCATTTGAGATGTTAAACTTGACTATCCTGGTAATGAAGCTGCACCAAGTGGTATGTACTCTTCACCCACAGCTGAGGGATACCCGCTCTCATGTCAGAAGACACATGGCTCAATCCTTTGTCCATTCTGCTGTCCATCACTATTGTTTGGCCCCCCCTTCCATGCTCTTTCCCTGAGCAAACAGAAACAGTGAGGTTTCAACATTCGCTTCTGCCTTTGAGGTAGATGTTTCTGTGGCCGTATATGGCAAATGAGTGTCAGAAGCTGGGAAGCAGAGACATCACAGCAGTTTCTTATTTGCTTATTCTCACTTGACTTGACCACTTGCTTAGCAACTGCTTAGCAACACCTTCTGCTTCAAGAGGGTTATGCCAAGTCCCTCAAGCTTGGTGGTCATAGTGATGTGGCTGAGACACCTTGTTTGCTTGGCAGCAGAGGTTTTGCAGCCAGGGAGAAAGAGAAAGTTTGGTGGGATGGAGAGTGGTTCTAGCCTTGCTCTGCAGGCCAGCTGGATGCAGCAGAAGCCACAGGTTTCCCTGC